ACCCAACACAGTATTTAGCACAGGATTTAGCACAGTACTGGCTGCTGGCTCTGCCTCCAAAGGGCCCCAGTCAGTAGATGTAAGGATAGTCAGAGTTCCTAGTTCTAGCAGGTTCCAAGGTGATAGGCTATTGCTAGTTTTGTGGCCACACTTTGAGAACACATGCTTTAAGGATATGTATTGTCCTCACCAAACTATGATTGCCCTCAGTGGAATCTAATCAGCAGGCTTACTACATGGAGCTAAAATTAAAACACTGACCACTGTTAATTCAGAACAGTCAAACTAACCTCACAAAAGCCTTCTCCAATGGAAAAAAATGGGAAACTCTTTCCACCGCACACACTGACTGGCTTTATTGGCTGTGGTCGCAGGCAAAGCACCGAATGAACCTTGGCCAGCAATGTGAGGTCTCTCCAGTCTGCAGCTGTTGGGCGGAGTCTCCTTTGCCTGTGACTCTAGGCAGGAAGTACCTTATTAGAATCTTAGAATCGATACATCTACATAGACGGGAGGGGGAAAAAAAGGCAAACAAAACAAAACAAAAAAAACCTCCCCGATTGCTCCAAATCTCTTTTAACACCCACCCTTTCAAAGCCACCTTGGTGGATGGCTTTGCCACTATGGCTGCTCAGCTTCTGGTGACTGACATCTTGAGGTTCATTGCGATGGGAAGTTCTGAAAATGCTCAGTCATAAATCAAGCGTGTACCTTCATTCCCAGTGGGATTAATGGCAGCATAAATAAAACAAAAATCCAAAGTGACAGACAGGCATGAGACACCCAGACAAAAAACTACTAGGAAGAAGGCCATTTGCATCCATATCCGAGCTGCCAGCAAGAGGTATAGAAATACTATTACAGATTAGTGCAGTATTGAGCAGATACTAACTTTACAGCGTGCATACAGCTCAACGGGGCTCCTCACAAAGCTCTGCACCCCCACAGCCTTCCTCAGAGACAGTTTTCTTCCTGACCAACAAACAGTTCAAAATGTGTTGTTGAAGGCAACCCAGCCACCTCTGTTGATCTCATTTTACAGCATTCCTGACATCCTTCAGTGCCTTACGCCGCGAAGTGCTCAGCAAACATGGGCAAATGGGTATTACCACCACCCTAGGGAGAACACTGAGTAAGAGTTATGCAGGATGATCAGAGAAAGGGAAAAATTTACAGAGGGCATCGATTTCAAAATTAAAATTTTAAATCTCATCTGCAGCTCTTCCCATATTTTGGACCTGTTCCTTTTTGCTATAAGGCAAAGAAAGCAATATAAATAGGCTCACAGAGACTTGATGTACAAATAAATACAATGTGAAAATGGCTGTATATAATGAGGGGAAAACAGCAGCAATTGTAGGGTATGGCAGTTGAACAAAATTAAAGGTGGAAACTTTATATTCACAGGCTCTTTGCAGTTAGCCTATGGAGAGCTATGCAAGGGAAGAAAAGATTGCCAGCTACAGCACTCCTAGGATTTCAACCACAGGAGGACTAAAAATTGTGTGGTTAAACAAACAAAGACTTTTCTAGGGGTGGGGGTCTCAGAAGATCTTGAACATATGAGGCCTTTACTTTGATCCCAGCAACCTGTAAGGCCAGGACTGGGGCAGTAGCCAGGCAAATCTCGAGGCTTTGCTGGCCAGCCAGGCTAGCAGCATCAATGAGTTTCAGGCTAAATAAGAAACCTGTCTCCAAAAATGAGGCAGAGAAGCAATTGAAAAAGAGACCCCTGACATGAACCTCTCATTTCTACATATATGCATATGGCATATATGCATACTGACTAGAAAGAACTGAGGTGCTATACCCGTCATCTTTCCCCACCCCCACCAGCCAGTTTATCCATGTGAACTGCATGGCTAGGAGACACTGGAGGCCAACTGGCTTGGGAAAGTACAAAGACACATGTTGGGAGTGGATTCAGGTGAGACATGGACATAAATGTAACAGCAGTTAAGGTGGGGCAGGAGGGAGGCTGTGTTGGAGGGAGGGTGGAGCTGGTTTGTCCAGACAGTACAGACTGGATTGCTTTGCTTCTCATCAAAAGCAAGGGTGACCTCTTCGATGAATGCATCTGGGGGCTTGGAATCTGAAGCCCTGCTTCTCATATAAGCATTTTTTTCCCGACCCTTCAGTTACATGTGTTGTGTTTATATGAAAAAGAGACTAAGTGAGATCTTCCATGGTCTAGATATCTTTCCTCAAATAAAAATAAGTTATTTTTCTGTTGCTAAATATTTGAGGAGTTAAAAGTTGAAAGAGGTAACTATTTTTATATCATACGTTGGAGGGTGGAATGCCTTTATATACAAATGCTTCGATTTGCTTTCCAGCTTACGGCTTGTGCTTTAGTTTCGAGCCAAGAAAGCCAGCTGCTTTCGTGAGAACCGCTTCCTCATTTGAAGGCCGTGAAAATCACAAACTTTGTTTATTTTGTCTAAAATGGGGAGAAAATATTGGGATAATTTGCTTGGGGGGGGCATCAGAATTTTCAAAAAGGAATTTGACTCAGTGTTCATTCACATTCCTGGCTGTCATTCGATGTATACTTGCGTTTATAGTGTGCACCCAAGTCCTGAGGAAAACAACAGAAGTGGAAATGGCTTTGCTTAGTAAACAGACCATCTTATTTGTAAAAATTTGGTCCCAATTACGACAGACTAGAATGAAAATGCTTCTCATACAAGCGGTTTTCCTACCCTTCAATGAAATGTGTTGTGAATACAAGCCACATCACTGAGTTGGGATTTAAAATATAAGCCCACATCTACCATAGGCACAAGGAAGAAAGGCTTCTTAAGTGGATATATACCTTCTACATGAGCAACCTTTAAACGATATCACATACTGCTTTACTATGCTATTAGCTTTATCTCTCCGCTGGGAACATCAATAAGCTATACTAAGAATAAAGTTAGTTCTGGGAAACTGGGTACAGAAAACGTTATATAACCAATTGGTTTCCAACCGTCAAGTCAGACACTGGTCAGGGGAATAATATGACCTCAGCCAGGGGGAAAAACAGCAAGCCAGAATTCTCCCAGCTGTGTTCCTTCCCTCTGTGGCCTTCAGCAACTTCAATTGAAGTTTAGCGTGTTTAGGGAGAAAGATGGCCAGAAGAATCAAAATTATTAAACCAAAAAGGTCAAACTTCAAATTAAGTTTTGGACCAGGTGCACTGCAGAAGGATGGACCCTCCCAAAGTCCCAGTGCTACCGGCAGCATGGCTGACCCCCTAGAACTTAAGGGAGGCTCTTACCACATGTAGTCCAGGCTACCCTGCCAAAGGAGGGAAGGGAAAAAGTTGCTGGCTTTGGGAGGTAAAATTAAAGCCTGCTCCATAGTGGGGGTCTCATGCCTGGTAATGTAAACTTGTTGAAAAAAAGTATAGCTAGGGAGGTCATAGGTCTTTGGGGGAACCCACAAATGACCTTTGTACATGGTCACACCCTCAAACTGCAACTAAATATTTACGTTCATACACATAGGCCTGTGTTTTTCTTAACTTTGGTCAGAGAACCTTCACTTCCCTGTTCTCTTTGCAGTGGGTAATGGTTAACAAAGAGACTCATAACTGGTCAAAGTACACAGGAGAAGTAATTCTGAGTGCTCGGCTAGATCAGTGCCCACCATCCAGGGTTCGGGGAACTTTGTGAAGGAAGGGAACAGAAAGAGTGGGAGAGCTGGAGGACGGGAAACGGTACAGTGAAGTACTGACTTCCTGACAGACGCCTGCTGTATGCATCAGCTCATAGCAGCTATGTCGACCTGAACAAGAACTGTTTAAGATCAAGGCGGCCAAAAGTACAACATGGAATGTGGTAAAGGCCTAGAGGCCCCATTCCTATTTGACGCGCAATTGGCAACCGATAAAAACTGTAGTGATATTCCATTTATATTTTAATAAATAAAACATGCCTGGAGATTAGAGAGTAAAACAGCCCCACTGGTCGGCCTTACAGACCAGGAGTGGTAACACACACCTTTAATCCTGGTAGCCACACTAGTTTGCCATAGAAACCGGGCGGTAGTGGTGCACACCTTTAATCTCAGCACTAGAGAGAAATATAAGATGGGAAGAGACAGCTCTCAGCCAGTCTCATTCTCAGATTCCTGGAGGCAGGATCGCCATTTTGGACTGAGGCAGAGGTAAGAGCCACTGGCTGGCTGTTTTGCTTTTCTGACCTTCAGGTTGAACTGCAATTTATGTTTCTGGGTTTTTCTTAATCGTGCTACAAGCTTCTGAGAGAGGGAGGGTTATTCTCCTTTGAGATGTGGCTGCTGGAAAGATGCCCATGCCTCACCAGATGGCCTTACACCTCCTGGCATATGCAGGACGTGAAACTAGGGGTAGAGACCACTGGGGGATTGTGAGTGAGGTAGTGGGTGATAGATATAACCAACGTACATTGTAGAAATACATAAACCTTCCGAAAATTAAAAAAATATTTTTAAAATTTAGTGCTAGTCAAAGATCAGTACAAATACTAGTTTCTCAGAGCACCCAAATCTTATCCTAGATGCTATAGGTCACAGCAGATGGCAGAGAGCTACTTCTTCAAATGAGTTCCTCCTGCTGAGTCCCTCTGGGGATAGAGAAGCCAAACCCAAAGCTGTTGAACTCAGATTTATTTCTAGCTGGCCTAAACACATTTCCCCACTTCCCATGTGTAACAGCAGGTGTGCTTGAGGACAGGCACACCGGCTTTGGTAACTTCTTTTCTTATCACTAACACATAGTGATAAGCCGTCAGGAAGAGGGCTCTGCACTAAATGGTCTCAGAGTTTATGCAGAGTGTGGAAATTATTCGATGTGAGAGAGCTCCATGTCCTGTTGTAAGAGCTGCACTCATTCACAAAAAGAGAAGGCTCATTTCTTCTACACACCAAGTGTCATAGTAAGTTAGCAAGACATATTTTGAGTGAAAATACAGCAGTTTCACGAAATGTGAGAAATGCAACAAACACATGCGTTTTAACAGACACAACATGCAATGTACATTACAAAGGATTGCTTTATTGTTTCTGTATCTGTGCAGAGTCTTTCTATTTTGGCCCAGTGGGACTCACTTCCTGGATGGTGACCATTATTTAGCATCTTAATATAAAATTTTCCTCACTGGTAGATGGATATGGAAAGGCACGAGGTCTTACAAACACGATGATGGCGACAGTGCTGGGATGGGAGGAGGGGTCAGGTAGTACCAAGGTATACAGGGGCTCTTGCGGAGCGAACCCCACTGTCACAGGAGAGTGGTGCTGGGACTTGAGTCAGAACAAACCGGACATTATCCAGGCTATGCCTGGGGTGATCACAGTGGGACATTTGGCCATGACAAATAAATAAATGGTGCTATGGCTTCTTCACAGTGCTCTACGGTTCAGCTATCATTTATAAATTTTTGCAATTAAAAATGATGATTGGAGTAGTTATAAGAAATTACACGTAGTAATAGACTGCTGAGATGACCAAAGGCTGAAGATTTAAAGGGCAGTCTCATGTTATATGGGCATCTCCATGATAGGTTACAACACAGGAGAACTGATTAGGGAGAAAACATTTAAAAATCAATCACGTCCAAATGCTCCTGAACCTAAACTGCTGGGAACCTTTACCTGAAGGGAACATTTCCCCCACCCCTTTCAGCCAGTCAATTTTGAAAGGCATCAGTTATAAATTCAAGGCTGGGCTGGAAAAGTATGCCACTGAAAATTGGGAAAATATAGAGCAAAAAATGATGGCTTTCTCTGCCTTTATGAGTTGCCTCTAAGTGAGCTGTGCACCATTCATATGCTGAGATTACTTCCACTGGTTAAACTTACTCTCACGCACAAAGACCGACTGTGATGCCACGTTAGTCAGTGCCTGGCAGTTCCAAGGAGCCAAAGTCACAGGGTGTCTTTGGATAATCTGAGCCAAATGGCAAAAAGAACCATAGGGCGCTATTTGTAAAATACTCAAGGAAGGTTGTGAATTACATTTTGCATTTTTTGCTCTCATATTCCTCCTTCTTGGACTGTGGAGTTGTTCCATTCACTGGTAAACTTGTGGCATCTTCCTTAAGTGAAGCTGGATCTGGGGTAATGGCTCTTTTGGTAAATGCTGGCAAGGCTAGAGGAAAGAGAAAAATAAACCAATGTGAATATAAAACTTGGGCCAAAAAATAATCTTGTAGAAGTTAGTTAATTAAACATCATATTTAATTTAGTTTTCTATAACTGAACTTTACACAGAGTAGCAGACCTTTAACATAAACAAAATCAGCCCATTTTCAAAAGCACAGTTGATTTTAAAATTGAGTTTTTTAATTTGTATCTGAGAGTGGGAGAAGTATGCTTTGTCAGAATACCATGACACAAGCACAAAGAATTTACAGGGAGAAAATCCGAAGGCCTCCTTTCATGGAATCCTCTGTGTTACACCCTCTGGGCTACTAGCAATACACCCAGAATTCAGCTTTGCTGTTTTTCTTATCTCCTTTCAAAGCTTGAGGCCAGAATCTCACTGTTACTGTGATCTTTTCCCTCCAGGTTTCAGCTCTTAGATCCCTGCTCATCCACTACTCTTAGAAACCAATAATATAGTATGTATTATAACAAAATTCTGTCTTAGAACCAATATGTCCACCCACACAGGTTCCGGGAGTCTGCTTTTGTCTGTCTGCCCCTTCTATGTCATCTAGGAGTGAGTCCTCACAATCCGGTCTCCAGGACTCACCTGTGTCTCCCTTTACGCCATCCCTGTCTCTTCAGCCCAGGCTGCCATTTCCTCTCTGTCTTTTACCTTGCTTCTCAACCAGATTAATCAGAATTACCTTCTAAAAAGTAAACCCACGGGACGCTCTGTTCCTGCACAGCCTCCCAACCTTTGTGCTTCTGGTGAAGTTAGAATGAAATCGAGGCCCCTACCAGTGGCTGCCCCCCTCACTGTCTCCCTGTATCATTGCATCCTGGCAAACCACGCCCCCTTTCCCCAGACTATTTGAACATTCTGCTCTGATACAAGGGTCTCTTTTCCCACCCAGTTTCAACTCAGCTGGCTCATTTTACTCTTTTCTTTTTTCCGAGTTTGAGGTCAACTGTAGCTTTCTCAGAGACGCACCCCATGATCACCCGCTTCATGCTCCTGTCCTGGGGTCCCTTCCTCACTCTCCTTTGAGGTACCATCCACCCTTTTTGTTCACCATGTATTTCTCCTTGAGATGAAATGACTTTGTCTGTCATTACTGCCTTCTTCAAATGTGATCTCAAAGCCTTGCATACAAGCCACTCAAGCTGATGCAAGTGAACACACTAAGAGACTTTTAAAGAGACAGCCAATTGCAAACATTTTAGATGTTTTCTAGAGAGCAGGCAGAAAGAAACCCTTTTGTAAAATTACAAAACCAGAACTCAATCATTTAAAAATAACTGATTAACATACAAAACCAAAGCCTAGTTTCATAAAATAAGCAAATAAAAGAGGCAGATATGTTATGCTTCCAAGGAATAAATAATCCTTTGATGGAGAGGAAACCATCATTCTTATGTTAACAGCACCCCTAACATTTTTATTGCCACATATTGTTGAAACTGACCCTATATGATAGATCATGTAAAAAGAAGCAGTTCACAGTTAACTAGGCAGACTTTGAACCATTAGTATAGTAATTATTTTCTGTTACTCTGGGGACAAACTACTTTTCATTCAAAAGATATAAAATGTCCTTCAAAATACAAACCAAGATGCCAAGCTTAAGTTTCTTAGCAAGCTAAACTGAAGTAAGAGGTAAAATAGTGTTTGAAGGCAACTTTTACTGAACTGTTTTTCTTAAAGTATCAAGTTAGAGTAAAATCTATAGCTCACCTCTAAGTTCTATAATAATTCTAGATAATGTTTTGCCCTACTGCAAAAAAAAAGCCACAGTCCTTTTCTTAGGTCCACTCATTTATTTTTTAAAAAATCTACTCTTTGGGATAGTTTAAGATTACAGACAATTTGCAATCTAGGTTTATTTTAAAATTTGGTTTGGAAACACCAATTCCACAGAAATTAAGCATGTTAGTCTCAAAAGGCTGGAGAGTTCTAGAAGTCACCAAAGTGCTATAGACCTCATTCAAGTCTAGACTAGTCTCAGCCCTGAGAGGGACCTGCCCTGGGGTCGTGTGCCTTTCATCTCAAAGGAGCTACACATGAAGACCAGAGGCCAGTCACCACTTATAAAAAGTGAAAATGACGGCTCCCAAAGCCGACATTGTGACGCTCTCTTGACTAAGCCCCCACTGTCTCCAGGCTGAAGGTAATGGAACCAGTCTTCTAAAAGAGGATCCTGACTCAGGGCAACAGCTTCCAGCCAGCCAGGATAAATTTGCTAGTGATCATGCTTTTAATAATGGATTTCTGTGTTCTTATTTCCAATGGCAATATAAACTTACAATTTATACATTTCTTCCCTTCTTCCTGGCAGAGGGAATCTACCTTCTCATGAATTGACCTGAACTACACAAAGCTGACATAAATTACTTCTTTAAACAAACTTTCATTAATGCTGGAGCATTTGAGAGACCACAAATTATGCAGTGTTTTCCCATTTCCTTTGTTTTTTCCATGGTCCATGTTTCTGTGCTCGGTTTGGTCACAGTTTGACAGAACCCTACGTCGGCAGAATGAGTGCCTTGGCCTCCATGGCACGGGACAAAAGCGGCCTCATAGTTCATATTCCATCACAAGCAATAAGTGCCTGCTCTGTGGACCGGGAAAGCAATGTCCATCCACGTCGACAGGGCTGTAGTCATCTCTTCGCCAAGTTTCCACACAGGTTGAAATGGTTCAGAGCTCCAAAGCCAGATTTTACACTCAATTTACAAGTTAATAAGAAAATTGGACATTTGCTGGTCAGATATAAAAACTGAGGTTTCTGTGGTAGCATTTGTCTTTATAAGACTCATGTCTGACCAAAGTGTACATCTTTACATGATAGAGTTTCAAGTTGAGTAGAGAACACTGGGAGTCTCCCACTGCATCACTTGGAATCCTCCAGAGGCAAACACAAGCAATTCTTTAAATGTCATTCTTCGCTCCATTTATATAAAAAAAGTCTAAAATGCTATTTTCTGATTTATCATTTTTAGACATTATCCACACCCACCTACTTCTTCACACCCATCCTCCTAAAATAGCTATTGCTGAAGTTTCAGTTATGTCAATACTGAGTGTTTATATTTTCATGACCATGTAAATAAACACAGCTCAGAAAACACCCAATAGGTAGACTGTGACAACGTTTCTCTTCTTATTTCTCTCCCCAAGTTTATTAACTGACTCATGTTAATTTTAATATGCTTTTGTTCTACGACTATTTGTCCCCAATGGCTCAATTAACTCTTCCACATTTCTTTTTTGGAGGTTTTATTTTTTTTCCTTCCTAAGTCTTAAGTTGCACAAGATAATCTGCAATTTCTTTGCTTCCTAAGGATTTTCTCAATAGAATCTCTGTTTACTATGAGAAGATTTATTAAGCATGAGTGTGGACGAGCTGGCTCCACCCCTCACCGGAGGGGGATGACCCCAGCGACCTGGACTGACCAGCTCAGCTCCCACCCAGGCACACATGCATGACTTGGGTTAGTCTCCGCAACATCTACCCCATCTATGATGTGCTGTACTTTGTGAAGGGATGGGTCCTGAGGAACCACGGCCACAAGATCCCCATGATTCCGGCAGCAGAAGAATATCTTACAGGAGTTTTGGTGAGGATACAGTATTGATGGTGTACCAGAAGCAAGAGACCTGGAACCCAACCAACAACACTTTACACAATGAATATTGCAAGTAAAGCTGTCTGGACAAAAGTGTGTACTTCGTAACACGCCAAAGCTCCCAACGCCACTAAGATGAATGGTGAGAAGATGGAGAGGCAGTCAAGATGAAGGAGGGAATTGTTTGCCTTATAACTTTTTAAAAATTCTTTCTTTGTGCCGTTCACATCATGCATCTCAACCCCATTCATCTCCCTATTCCTTCATATCTGCCCTCTGCCCTTGCAACCTCCTCCCCCCCAAAAAAATAAGATAAAATAAAATTTAAGAGAAAAAAAAAGAAGCTGCAGTATGACACAGTGAGTCACACCGTTTACCTTTTTATCCATATTTCTTTACTAGGAAGTGTTCATTCCAAAGAGTCATTGGTCTGGTTCAAGGACTCTGGTTTCTACTACACTATTGGTGCTGGGTCCTCACTGGGACTCCACTTGGACATCTTGTTGTTGCCCTGTGTTGTGAGGATCCTGTAGTTTTAGGTTCACAGGTACAGCCCTTTCATGTGCTCCAGCAGATGAGAGATGGGGTGGATTTGGGGGTGGGCCAACTCGTAGCCCTAGTTCTGGGCTTGGGTAGTTGTAGAGTTGTTGGCCAGCCTGCCAGCTCTCTCCTATCCTCATGACTCATGACCAGGGTGAGCTGGCATTGTCCAGGCTAGTTCACCCCTAGCAACAATGACTGGTTCTCCTTCTTTCATGCCCTCAGGGTCCACTCTCCCACACCTACAGCTTCAGAACCAGCTCTACTGTGTTGTCCAGGCGAGGTGCAGAGGCCGCTCTCCTGAGTGCTGCAGCTGGGGAGGGGTAGGACAGCTCTCTGCTCTTTTGTTTGCTTGCTTTTATATTTTTTTTTGTCTTCTGGGTTTTTTGTTTTTGTTGGCTTGTATTTTAATAATATTCTTATTTGTATTTTTATTTATATTTTATTTTTTATTATTTCTTTTAAATGTTTCATTTTGGGGGGGATGCTACAAAGATGAAAGGTACATGCAGAGATATTGGAAAATGATTGATATTGGGATACCTGGTGTGAAATTCCCAAAGAATCAAGAAAAAAAAATGTTTAAAAGAAAACGGTGTGAGTACTGTCTTGGGCCTAGGGAAGCAGATGGGAACAAATATAGAGACTCACAGGCAGACACAATGTGGAGAGTAAGAGACCTTCGGCCATTCAGTCCTAAGCAGGATGTCTCCATCAAGTCTCTCCCCTCAGGGCTCAGGGAACCCTGCATAAGAGGCAGAAAGAGTCTAAGAGTCACAGGGAATGGAGGACACCAGGAAAAGAAGGCCTTCTAAATCAAAAGGCTCAAAAGTCATATGAACTCACAGAGCCTGAGGCACAGGGCCTTCATGGCTCTGTATCAGGTCCTCTGCACTAACATCATACCTTCCAGTTTGCTGTTTCCATGGGATTCCTGGGTGTGTGAATGAGTGGTTCTCTGTTTCTTGTGCCTTCTTTTGGGCTCTTTTCCTTCTGTTGGTTTGTTTTGTCCAATTCCAATGTGTTAGCTTTTGTTTTATCTTATTATATTTATTTTTATTACTATCCCACAGAAGGCTTTTTTTTCCTAGTGGCAGATAAAAATAGGGTAGAGATAGAAAGAGAAGGGAGGTAGAAAGCAGCTTAGAGGAGTAGAGGGAGGAGAAACCATAATCAGGATATATTATATGAGAAAAACTATTTCCAATAAAAGGACAAAGGTGAGTGGCCATTTAAGGGCTCACCAATCCTGAAGACAAAAGAATGAATAACACAAAACCACAAAGTCCTGGGCTTCACTAGCAGTGCTCTTCCAAGTTTCCCAGGCCAGGAGAGAAAAGGGAAACCAGATACAGAAGGGAACGGTGTGGAGAAGACAGAAGAGGACATCAAAAGGCAGGAGAAATATATTTATCATTTTCAACAGCAATCTTGGATTGGGAGAAGTATTTTTTTCAATGACCTCAAAGGAAAATAATTTTCAACTTGGAATTCTGTAGCTGGTCAAACTTAGAATTGCATAGTCAGCCAAAGCCTCGATCAAGTGTCAATGGAAGATTCCATTTTCAGGGACACAAAGATGAAAAACATGAACCTCTCTCTCCTCAATGTATTTCCATAGAAGCAAGGGGTGAGGAAAGAAAGGCCCCAGAAAGTGTCTGGCGCCATATGCATCACAGACTGCTGGACAAGCCCTTTCACCCTTGGTCTGCATGCTTCCTTTGTTCTTCCCAAACTCCAAATCTGTGAACCGTGTCTTGTCTATTCTTAACTGAATTTTAAAGGTTTGTTTTACTGTTTTATTGTGTTTATTAGTGTTCTGCCTGCATATATGTCTGTGCACCATGTGCATACTTGGTGCCTGCAGAGGCCAGAACAAGAAACTTGGATCCCCTGGAACTGGAGTTACAGACAGCTGTGAGCCACAGTGTGAATGCTGGGAACTGAAACTCAGGTCATCTGAAAGAAGAGCCAGGGAGCCATCTCCCCAGTCCCTCCCTGAATTCCAAATTTATAAATTACATTTATTAGTGTGTATATGTATGTGTGTGTGTCTGTGTGTTAGAAAGAGAGAGAGAGAGAGAGAGAGACAGAGACAGAGACAGAGACAGAGACAGAACACGTGTTTGTAGTTACACACGTGCCACGGTATACAGGTGGAGGTCAGTGCACAGACTGCGAACATTTGTTCTTTCTTTTCATCATGTGGGCCCCAGGGATTGAACTTTGGTCATCAGGTTTAGTGGCAAGTGACTTGACCCATTTGAACTATCTTGTCATCCCTTGGTTTTCTAAAAACCTAATTTTTTCTATTATTCCATTCTTCTTCCTGCCCCCACTTCTTTTACTTCATGTTTTCCTAGATTTTATTTCCCAACTGTCTAGTTTCTTTCACTTTTATGTCCTATTTTATAATTCTGAGACCTTTGAAAGCCTGTATTCCCTCTTCTAGTCTCTAGCTTTAGTATCTGAGGACACTTCTGATTATCTTATTAGACAAAGGTGCTGCTCTATTCTCTGCTGGGCATGGCAGCTTTCCATTTAAGGGTGTTCAGTAAAAGCAGAAGTTAGAGGATAATTTTTCTAAGTGGAATTAGTCTGTGACAAAAGCAGAAGTATTCAGTGTTAACTAAATTTTGAAAAGTACTGAGAAGATGGAGACAACCATGGCAGAAAAATCATAAATAAAACTTGTCAATAAAGAGTAAACCATAAGGCTCAAATAATAAATGGAGGAATTTAATTAATTTTTGTACATCCTATAATATAATCAGTGACAAGTATTTCTTCATTCAGACAATGTTGCAATGATAACTTTTCCTATATTTAATAATTTTATTTACTTTTGAACTACTACATTTGCATAGAATCCCACATCTGCTTATGAGAAATATATCTTAATTAGAAAAACGATCAAGGATGGTTACAAGATGGTACAATCAAGAGCTAAATGTAGTCTCTGAATGCCTATTATGTAATATTATATATAAATCTAACAGCCTTGATAGTTCCTACAACATTCTTCTAACCACTTTGTTTTAGGAGCCATTTCAACAGGATTGAGCAGCAGAGGAAAATGGCTGCTCTTCTCTACTCGTGGTCGCTACCTCCAGGCTCTTCAGTATATCAATGGGCGGGACTTCTAATGTCCATGTTACCCGAGGAAAATTTTACATTACTTAATGTGAGAGACATAAATTCTGGCAGGGCTATACACACGATTCCGTGACAGTACATCCAACATGAGTTGTAATCCATATTGAAGAGTGGCCACAACATCAGAATAGCAGACGGTTCACACAGATACAAAATCACTTGGTAAAATGATTAAGATGGGAAAGAGAAAATGCTTAGCTTTGGGAATAAAATAATCATGATATAACGAAAACCAAACGATTTGTCAGAAACTGATAAATATTTATTAAATGAATCCATGAATATAAATAAGTAAAAATGAGAGATATCACCTTTAAATTTGACCTACTTCTTTAGACTTATTCTGATATATTATTTTATAGCAGGCTAGCTATTTTAAATGACAGAATTATCAAATTTAATGTATAACCCTCCAGGCCCATGATAAATTGAAGAACTAAATTATTATGCAAATTAGAATCTATTAAATAATATTTGAATCCCGATGGCTTAGATAAAAGTAGACTTCAAAAAAGACTTGTATATTCATTTACCTAATTTAATTGAACATTAATTGGGCTTTTAATATGTGCCAAAAATTATGTGGCGAGCTAAGGAAGCAACGGTGAACAAAGCAGACATCACTTGTGCCGTCACTGAGTTCAGTCTGTGGTGGAGGGGATTTAAAAATCAATAAATGAAAAGTTACTAAAATTATAAAAAATCTATTTGTTGTCCTATTTAAAAATTTTGTATTGAGTTTTGGGTGTTTAAAATAGAAAACACTTGTAAAACCATAGGGCTCATGACTTCTTCAATGTTGTTGGAGGCAGCTAGCTAATTTCCCAACAGCCCTGACTTGAAATAATCACTCAGAAACTATATTATTTGCAATACTGTTTGGCCAGTAGCTTAAGCATATTGCTAGGTAGCTCTTACATCCTAAAATAACCCATCTCCATTAATCTGTGCATCACCATGAGGTCATGGCCTATCAGCAAAGTTTCAGTGGGCTCCAGTGGAGGCATCTGTCTCCATTGGTGGCTACATGGCTTCTCACTGACCCCGCCTACTTTCTCCCAGCATTGTTTAGTTTTCCTGTCTAGCTCTATTCTGTTAAGCTATTGGCTGAAAGCAGCATCTTTATTAACTAATGGCAATAAAACATTCACAGCATACAGAGGGGAATCCCACATCACTTCAAGTATAACGCATAGACGCTGAATGTTGTGGAAGAGACCCACTGCAGAAGGCAAGAGGAGAGAAAGCACCCTGGTAACTGGGTCCTGGGCTACCGAATCACATCTTACTGTTGCCACAGGGTAGAAACAGTGAAATTTAGTGTGTAGGCATGTATGCATTCTTACTCTTTGTACAAATAAATATTTATGAATAGTTACATGCAAATACCTTCTTGTTTTGATTATTTCCATTTTATTAGAAGTTAACTTTATCTGCTCATCTACAGTTAACAATCTTTAAACCAAAAATTGATTTAACAGACATTTTTACTTTGCATAATTTACTCTAAGTTTTCTTTAAAAAGTTTAAAGTTGAAAAACAAACTCCATGTTTCAATTCAGTGAGTTGGGTACCATCAGTGGTGCTCTTGGGAAACTTTTTAAAAAATTTTTATAATTCATAATAAAAACTTTCTCAAACTTTAGCATGAATATTACTATCACGTACTAGCCTTAAAATTTAATTTCCCCATGAGTTATACTTTTTTTTTACAAATCCAATTTAATAACTGGTAATAGACTTTATTACTTACAGTTAAAGTGTGGACTAGACAGGAAGTAACTGCCATCCTGCCAAGAGGTTGAGTGATCTAGGCCATGGATGTGGGAACCTCCAGAAAAGGGCCTGTCGTCCTGAGAAAGAAAGCACCACATTTCAGTTCCATGATCAAAAGATGCATGGACAAAAGAGCATCATGTAAATATACTGACCATGAAACTGGACCCTAATACACAAGCTACCTTACACATGCACAGCTTAGTGATAACCATCATTGTCAAAACTAAAACAAATGGCTCAAGGCATATATATATATATGAAGAAGAAAGAAAACACTCATTTCTGTGAGCATGACATTTCTTTCCAGCCTTCTTCATGACACATACATAAAAGGGCTTTAGAGACACATTTACTATATGTTCTCTGCATGTCTAAGACGGAGTGACTCAGAAAGAGCTTAGGAAGTGAAGGAAGAGGACCTTGTTCGTGGTCATAGCATTCTGAAGTGAAGTCTAAGTGTGGGCAGAGGCTACATTTTTTACTTGAAAATTTAATTTTTAAATTAATATATTTGTGTGTACACCCAAAGGTCAAAGCATTTGAGGCTGTGCGTGTGTGTGGAGATTGGAAGACAGATCTCTAGAGTTGGTATTCCCCTTATATCTTTGTGGAATCTGGGGATGAGACTCATATCATTAGGTCTGATTGCAAAGGCCTCAATCCAGTGAGTCATCATGCTGGTCCAAAGTTAAATGTCTTAAGTATCATTGGAAGAAAACACAAGTTGTGTAAAGAGAAGGATGGTGATAAGGTGGGTCTAACACCTGAAGAACACAGTGGGAAAACCAGACTGGCTAAAGGCAGCTGGTGTCTGGAGAGTTCACATCTAGCAACTGTCAGCAAGATGGTCTAAAGAGATGTCTCAAATGCAATCCTCCATGTAGGAAGGCCGCATGTACCTGATGAATTCACTGCCGTTTCTTGAACCTCAACCAGCTTTTTGTTTGGTTGCTTGTTTTTTGGAACACATATACTGTACATAAATATAAATAAACAAAAAGGTAAAAATAAAAAGTATATGCACATATAAATACTTCTATAAGGTGATTCTTGTTTCCCTCTCATTCCTCAAGTCACTGCATAGATGTAATAGAGCACAGGATCTATTACACATCTCCACAAACCTCCTGCTTTTCCTAAAATCACTGTATCTCCATCATCACCATACTATATCATAGCTTAATTTACACTCTTATGGTTTAGTCAGGTTGTTATTCGTACTATAAGCAAACCCTATGATAGACGCATTGCTACAAGAGGCTTCTTCATACTGTAATTTCCTAGATGTGAAATCACTAGATGGCATATTTGTCATGCTTCATTGCAGTTGTTGATACCACAAATTTCACAAGTTGTGCTTTTATTTTAATAAAGTCAATTATTTTTAGCTTCCTCTGGCTTGCTCCTTTGGGCCATAATGGGTTAGTTACAAGTATGATGTTTAATTTCTAAGTAGTTGGGTATTTCCCAGACAGATTTTTGTTATTGATTTTTGGTTGTTCTCTCACTGTGGATAATCTTTATAATTTTAATCATCTTAAATTTTTTAAAATAATTTTTATCACCCAGTCTACTTTGGAGAATGTTTAGTATATACTTTGCCTAGTGCTGGAGGACTTTTTGAAAGTTTCAGTTAGCTGTTGTTGGTTGGTATTCCAATAAAGTTGGAATCAACTTTATTCTTCATTGATTCTTCTGCTAATGGCATCAATTATGGGAAAAGAAATGGTAACATTTCAAAGTCTAGGCTTGCTGTTGTTTATCGTTCTGCTGGTAGCTGTTGCTCCAGGTATTTCAAGGCTCCCCTGGAAGAATTACTCCTTCCTTCCACATGGCTTACTCATGACTCAAATATTCATACTTCCTTTCTTTACATGCAAGAACTGCGGAGGCTTAACTACATATTTTAAGTTTTAACATTCCACAGCTTCAAAATACTGTCAGAGAGAGCTAAAGAGATGACCTAGCCATTAAGAGTCCAGATGTAAATTTAATTGCCTGTGCCTACGTCAGGTGGCTCAGAAGCCCTGTAACCTCAGAAAGAGAGGATTAACACCCCCTTCTGACCTTCACAAGTACTTACACACACTTACACACTCTTACTCACACACACACACACAAAAACTAAAATAAAATCTTCTAAAAATTGTTCAAATTTTCCATATCATCTTGAAACAGAACCAGCAAAATTAATCAGTCAAACTGAATTATAAAAGAAAATTATTTCATAATCCCTTTCAACAATCAACATGCCAGAGCATGAAAAGAGTACCTTCTTTTCCTACATTGCTCCTGCACTCCTATATTGCTAGTTAATCTGTGGAATCTCAATTTAAATATATTTTACAAGGTGATCAAAAATTCAACGCTTCGTTTTAATTCCTATTTATATGTAATGAAGCACTTTAGTACCAAGGAGAAAATACTTATTAAAAAGGAAGATTCTTTGCAATGTTAATAATCCTGGCTTCTGCTTTATAAAAATTCTTTTATCCTTAAAACAAGGCCCTGTTTTTATTGCTGTCTTAAGTCTGAATAACCCAGTTTGCCAGAACTCTCTGCAAAATTCAATGGATGAAAGAACTTGCATTTTCTAGTATTTTCCCTGGGCTTCTTCCACTTCTCTTTCATAACTCGCATTGTAATTGGTTTCCTCAAAGCAGTTCCAACTTGACTGAGTTCCTCTGCTAAGGTGGCATGTGATGACTGCTATCTAGAGATGTACACCGAATGCTTCCCTCCGAGGGACACTGTCAGCTCAAAGTTTCTAAGTGACACATTTACTTTTAAGGTTTTATCAATCTCTTCCCCCTGGACAGAAGGAAACTAAAACGCCTGTATTTCTGGATCTGTGGCAGGAATGTTTTCCTAAACTCCTTTTGTCAAAGCACTCCCTCTGTTTCCACTCCACTATGACCATCTGCATCCCATCCGTGTTCCAGAGAGGTCAGCTTCTTCCTCAGCAAACTTCATTCTGTTGGAAAGTTCAAACTGGACATTCCCCTACACTTTGCACTTCAGGTCTCAATTTGTACCAGTTCAGGTTTTAATCACCAGGGTGGGGCTCTGACTTTCACCAGCAACCCACCTTTCTACCTATCTACCCAAAATCCTCCTTACCAAAGTGTCACTTGTAGTAAGAGGGGAATAGCAATATATGATGATACACTGAAATTAAAATCTGCTTACAGAGTGTATGTTGGCACATAGGTGATGGTTATTCTTACAGCTGCAGGTTCTTTTGGTAGTCTTTTCTCTTTTTCTTTGTTGAGAAAGTCATGTAGCCTAGGCTGCCTTTAACTTATAATCCCACTACCCCAGTATTGAATACAGGAGCTACAAGTATGAGCCATCCTGAGTAGCAGCTACACTTAAGGAGTGTAACACGAGGTCATGCTTATTGGGGTTTTCTGTCCTACACGGTTCCCACAGCTGTTTAGCCTCAAAGAAAATCACATTATCACACAGAGGTCTCTTAAGTTATAAACTGATTGGCCCATTAGCTCAGGCTTCTTATTAACTCTCATGACTTATATTAACCCATTATTCTGATCTATTTTAGCCATATGGCTCGGTACCTTTTTCAGCTGGCAGGTCACATCCTGCTTCCTTGGTGGTCTGTGCAGGACTGGGAGGAATCAGCTTCTTCCTTCCCAGAATTCTCCTGTTCTCATTGCATCACCTCTACTTCCTGTCTGGTTTTCTCACCTATACTTCCTACCTGGCCAATCAGAGTTTATTTAAAATATGATTGACAGAATACTGACAGTTCTCCCACACCAAAGGCATTATACCAGATCACCTCTAAGTAGTATCCCTACTAATACTTTATCTGATTTGAATGTAACTGTCAACTATGCAACCAACTTTTCTACAGGAAATCTATACCGATTCAACAATGCTATAAACCTCACATTGGCAACCTTCATCAATAGAGTTAAAGACCCATGGAAATACTGTTTTATAAACTGGACTTAATGAGTTTAAAAAGAAAAAAGAAAAAGGACACCAAATTTTGCATGTAGTGAAGGCTGGGTCAATCTGGGAGGACTGCTGGGGGGTTGGATCTGATCAAAGTATTTTGTATGCAATTCTTAAAGAACTAATAAAAAACAAGAAAAGACGGTGGTAGATAAGACCACTTTAGGACTTTTCTATCAATATTAGCAAATGTAATTATTTCATTATTGACAGTTGTATAAAATTTTATGTTCTCTGCCAAAGAACTAGGATATATAGCATAAAGATATAGTAGGATAAAAAATTAATGTGTTTAACTGAGTTATCACTTCTGATCCATACCTGTTTTCAGATTAAGAAAAAAAAATTCCAGTTTAATTTGGATCTTTTAAAATTTTTTTGTTTAACTTAAAAAAAAAACAGGATGTCGGGAGAGCTTGGGAGAATGGGATGGGTGGGATAGAGGAAGGGTGGACACTGAAGCAGGGAAGTAAATATTTTAATTAAGGGAGCCATTTTAGGGTTTGCAAGAGACTTGACTCTAGAGGGGTTTCCAGGTCCAAGGAGAGGTCCCCTGACTGTTCCTTGGGCAGCAGAGGAGAGGGTGCCTGAACTGGCCTTGTCCCATAGCCACACTGATGAGTATCTTGCATTTCTCCATAGAACCTTCATCTGGCGACGGATGGAGTTAGAGACAGAGACCCACATTGGAGCTCTGGACTGAGCTCCCAAGGTCCAAATGAGGAGCAGAAGGAGGGAGAACATGAGCAAGGAAGTCAGGACCACGAGGGGTACGTCCACCCACTGAGACGGTGGGACTGATCTAATGGGAGCTCACCAAGGTCAGCTGAACTGGGAGTGATGGAGCATGTGATCAAACCGGACTCTCTGAAAGTTGCTATCAATGAAGGCTGACTGAGAAGCCAAGGATGATGGCATTGGGTTTTGATTCTACTGCATGGACTGACTTAGTGGGAGCCTGGTTTGTTTGGATGCTCACCTTTATAGACCTGTATGGAGGGGGGAGGACCTTGGACTTCCCATGGGGCAGGGAACCCTGACTGCTCTTAGGACTAGAGAGGGAGGGGGAGGTGGGGAGAGGGAGGAAAAATGG